CCCTAACCCTAACCCTAACCCTAACCCTAACCCTAACCCTAACCCTAACCCTAACCCTAACCCTAACCCTAACCCTAACCCTAACCCTAACCCTAACCCTAACCCTAACCCTAACCCTAACCCTAACCCTAACCCTAACCCTAACCCTAACCCTAACCCGTAACCCGTAACCCTAACCCTAACCCTAACCCTAACCCTAACCCTAACCCTAACCCTAACCCTAACCCTAGCCCTAGCCCTAACCCTAACCCTAACCCTAACCCTAACCCGGAACCCTAACCCTGACCCTAACCCTAACCCTAACCCTAACCCTAACCCTAACCCTAACCCTAACCCTAACCCTAACCCTAACCCTAACCCTAACCCTAACCCTAAACCCTAACCCTAACCCTAACCCTAACCCTAACCCTAACCCTAACCCTAACCCTAACCCTAACCCTAACCCTAACCCTAACCCTAACCCTAACCCAAGGCTGGCCAAGGCTGGTTACTCTCTGGCCAAGGCTGGCCACTCTCTGGCCAAGGCTGGCCAAGCTCTGGCCAAGGCTGGCCAAGGCTGGCCAAGCTCTGGCCAGAGAGCAGCGGCGCAAGTTGGCGTCGATGGCGGCGTCGCCGCAAAGCGTGATCGAGATCGCTTTGGCGGAGGCGCGAGCGACGCGGTGCACGACGAGGGGGCGGGCCTCGTCTCGGTGGGCGGCGGCGGGCCGCCTGGCATGTCTCGGCTCGGCGCCGAGGCACAGAGCCGCTGCGAGGCAGCGGCGGCAACGCGCGGCGACGAAAGCACCATCGCCGGGCAGTCTCGGGGTGGCGTGGAGGGCCACTCGAGCTCTGCCGGCGGGGCGGTCGCCACGCACAGGCACGCGACGCGAGGAGGCGTCGCCGAGGGCGTCGACGAGGCGCTCGACGAGGCGCGGCCGCGGGCCGGGTCCTCTCGGAGCCGCGGAGGCGCCGCTGCAGGCGGCGGCGGCCAGAGCGAGGTCAGCAGGCAGAGCGGCTGTGGCGGTGAGGGCCATGCGGGCTCTGCTGCCGGCTCGCTCGCCTCTCTCGAGGACGCGACGGCCGGGACAGCCGTCGCTGCAGCCGGCGGCACCGCGCCGCCTGACGAGCCGCGTCCGTGGACAGCGGCGAGCACCCGCTGCTGGGCGAGAGCAGCGGCTCAAGTCGGCGTCGATGGCGCCGTCGCCGCAAAGCGTGATCGAGATCGCTTTGGCGGAGGCGCGAGCGACGCGGTGCACGACGAGGGGGCGGGCCTCGTCTCGGTGGGCTGCGGCGGGCCGCCTGGCATGTCTCGGCTCGGCGCCGAGGCACAGAGCCGCTGCGAGGCAGCGGCGGCAACGCGCGGCGGCGGAGGCACCATCGCCGGGCAGTTTCGGGGTGGCGTGGAGGGCCACTCGAGCTCTGCAGGCGGTGCGGTCGCCACGCACGGGCACGCGACGCGAGGAGGCGTCGCCGAGGGCGTCGACGAGGCGCTCGACGAGGCGCGGCCGCGGGCCGGGTCCTCTCGGAGCCGCGGAGGCGCCGCTGCAGGCGGCGGCGGCGAGAGCGAGGTCAGCAGGCAGAGCGGCTGTAGCGGTGAGGGCCATGCGGGCTCTGCTGCCGGCTCGCTCGCCTCTCTCGAGGACGCGACGGCCGGGACAGCCGTCGCTGCAGCCGGCGGCACCGCGCCGCCTGACGAGCCGCGTCCGTGGACAGCGGCGAGCACCCGCTGCTGGGCGAGAGCAGCGGCTCAAGTCGGCGTCGATGGCGCCGTCGCCGCAAAGCGTGATCGAGATCGCTTTGGCGGAGGCGCGAGCGACGCGGTGCACGACGAGGGGGCGGGCCTCGTCTCGGTGGGCTGCGGCGGGCCGCCTGGCATGTCTCGGCTCGGCGCCGAGGCACAGAGCCGCTGCGAGGCAGCGGCGGCAACGCGCGGCGACGAAAGCACCATCGCCGGGCAGTCTCGGGGTGGCGTGGAGGGCCACTCGAGCTCTGCCGGCGGTGCGGTCGCCACGCACGGGCACGCGACGCGAGGAGGCGTCGCCGAGGGCGTCGCCGAGGCGCTAGGCGAGGCGCGGCCGCGGGCCGGGTCCTCTCGGAGCCGCGGAGGCGCCGCTGCAGGCGGCGGCGGCGAGAGCGAAGTCAGCAGGCAGAGCGGCTGTGGCGGTGAGGGCCAAAGCGACGACCGCCGAGCTTTAGGTCGCCGACATCCAGCCGGAGCTGCGAGTCCACACGGAGGCGTCTAGGGCGAATTCACTGGGACAGTGATTTCGCAGAGACTACCTCATTTGCTGCTCCCCCCATGAAGGGGGGTTTGTGTGGGAAGCCAAGGGAGGTTAATGGCTTCCCACATTTGTGATGGGTCGAAATCGGCCCGCCGCATTGATGGTCGAATCGGTGTAACGAATCGAGAGAGAGAGACGCGAGGGCCCAAGAGGCCCGTGGGCTCGCCTGCAGAGCGTCTCTCTCTTGCCATTCTGCTTGTCTGTTTTGTGGCCTCTTCTCTCGTCTGTCGGTGTTTTGTCCCACCCTGAGCATTGTGCTCTTCCCGCCCTGGGTTGTGCTGATTAGGCATCAAAAGTGGTTCACAGTGGAGGCGGTCGCCGTCCTATCTGTCAGTGGCTGCACTAGACGCCCACAGAGGCGCGCGGCGCGGGCAGATGACTAGGGGAGAAAAAGCGGAGAACCTAGCTCGCTGGGAGATGTGCGCAACCTAAAGACGGGAATAGGGGAGAAGTGTCAGTGTGAGGGGAGGGCGTAGGCTGGCGTTTTTGCCTTTGAAAACTGAACAGTTTTTTTTCTGCTCTGGCCCTGCCTCGGCCTCTGCTCTGGCCCTGCCTCGGCCTCGGCCTCTGCACCCTGCCTCGGCCTCTGCCCTGCCTCGGCCTATCTGCCCTGCCTCGGCCTCTGCCCTGCCTCGGCCTCTGCCCTGCCTCGGCCTCTGCCCTGCCCTCTGCCCGCCTCGCCTCTCACAAACGCGGCACGGCCCGTTTTGGCTGTATTTACCTTACCTTACCTTACCTTACACCGCCTCGACAAACTCCGGTGCCGCCGCCGCTGCGACTCGAGCGGTGCAGACGTGGCCCTTCTTTGGCAAGCCACACGCCCTGCAGCGCACCGCTCGCCGCTGCCGCCCGACGCCGGCCGCCGCAGCGCGCGCCTCTGACTGCCTCTGCTGCCCCCGATCAGACTCGCTCGCGGCGCCCGCTGCCCCGGCGGCCTGAGCCCGCAGCGCCAAGTCAAGCAGAGACGCGTCCGAGTCCGAGTCCGATGCGGCAGCGTCGCACTCCGCGCCGTCGCTGCTCTCGCCCTCGGAGGAGACGACGCACTTCGAAAACAGCGCGGACGTGCGCCGCCGCCGCCGCGGCTCGTCGGCCGCCGCGCTGCCCGCCGATGCGTCACGCTTCCGCGCCGCTGACAGCTGCGTGGGCGTGAGGGGCGGGCTGGACGGCGGCGTCTCGCGCTCTTGGAAGGCGGCTTGGCGGCGGCGCCTCGCCTCCGCCGCTGAGTTGCGGTTCGTCTTGAGCTGGTGGCAGGCGACGCAGAGCGGCTGGAAGTTGGCGAGTCCCGCCTCGCCGCCGCCGTGCCGCACCTCCCTGATGTGGTCCGCCTCCCAGAGATGCCCCTCGGTTGGCTCGCAGATGGCGCGGGTCCACTTTCCGGCCCACTGCTCGAGGTGCGGCACGCGCTGGCGCAGCAGCTGCTGCCGCTCGTCGACGGGGAGGGCCTTGAGCGCGGACGCTAGCCGCAGCAGGTCGACGCCGCAGCCCTGGCAAAAGAGCGAGCCGACAGCGGCCACGTACGCCTTGCGCAGCTTGTGGCGCACTGCGGAAGGGTTCCGCCGCAGCACCCACGCCTGGAAGCACTCGCCCTCGCCGCACGTCAGGTCGGCCACCCGCTCGTACCGCACCCCCCACACGCGGCAGGAGTGCTCCGGCGCCCCGTCGGCGCTATGCCCGCCCTCGCCCTCGCCCTCGCCCTCGTCCCCGTCCGCCCGGCTCAGCCGCTTTGCGCGCTCCGCCATCAGCAGCGGCGCGAAGCAGTTGACGCAAAGCAGCTGCGCTCCCTCGCCGCCGTCCGGGAAGAGCGCCGGCTGCCAGTGGTGCTCGAGCTGGGCGGAGCGGCCGGAGATCAGCCCCTCCTCGACAGCCGCGCGTATCCACAGCGCTCCACGTGGAGCCCTTGCCTGCTCGAGGGCGCTGGGCGCGCGGCTGGGCGCGCAGCGCAACGTCGACGCCTCCCGCCGCCCGTCGAGCGACACGGCGGCGGCCTCCGCCTCCTTGGCCAAGCGCCGGAGTCCCGACCGAGCGGACGGCACGCCGTGCAAGCGAGGCCACGCCTGCGCCGGCAGCTCCGCCCACGCCTCGAAGAATCGCGCCGCGAGGCGGGCGCGAGCCGGCGCGGCGGCGTAAGCCTTTGCGCAGTCGAGCAGCGAGAGCAGGTCGACCGCACTGAAGCTCTCACCAGTCGGCCGCGCAGAGGTCCGGCTGGAGTAGGCGTGCACGCGCCGCGTGTGGCGGCTCACGGCGAAGAAGGCCGTGGCGGAGGCGGCATCGTCTGCGTCGCCCGCGTCCGCCGCGCTGTCGCCGCCTCCCGCCCCCGCGGGGTGCGCCTGCCGCTGCACCTGGCCGCTCACGACGCTCGCGATCGTCTCCTCAGTCTTGCGCAGCGTCGCCCACTGGCGCTCGTCGAACCTCTCGCACTCGCGAAGCAGCGCGGCGCTCGGCTGCGCGGCGGCCTCCCGCTCCCACTCCGCGAGGAGGTAGACGACGGTGACGGGCTCGCTCTGGCCCGAGCGGTGCAGCCGCGCCTCCGCCTGCCCCTTCCACCCCTGGTCCTGCGGCAGCTCGCAGAAGAAGGCCTGGTCGGCCACGGTCTGGAACCCGTTCACCCCCGCGCCACACGCCGTCGTCGAGACCAGCGCCACCAGTACGCGCCGCTCCGAGCGGAACCGGTCGATGAGCGCGTTCTTGGCGGGGCCGTCGGAGGTGCCGTCGAGCCGGACGCACGCCTGAGAGCAAAGATCGGTCCGTCGATGCGAGAGTGGGAGGCTCAAACGCCGTCGGGCGGCCTGGCGCGCGCCTCCGCGTCGCCGAGCGCCTCCCCGGCGGTGGCCTGCAGCTGGTCCATCACGCGAATATGGTGCGCGAACAGGAGCAGCTTCCGCGGCGGCGGATCGCCGCGCCGCGCCGCCTCGTCGGCGGCGGCGCGCAGCGCCTCAAGCCTGACCCGGAGCCAGGAACCAGACTCGTGCAGAGCGATCGCCTTGAGCAAGCCCGCGCGGTGCGCCGAGGTTCGGACGCCCGCCTGAGAGACGGGGTCCGCCGCGGCGTCGGGCGGCGCCTAATCCACGCCCTTGGTTCACCATAAGTGGCGGCGGCGAGGACGCCGGACGAGAAGGCGCCGGCGCCTGAGCGGCGTCGGGCGGCTCCTGGCGCTCGGCGAGCTGCCGATGCAGCGCGTCGGCGTGCCTCCTTCGGACTCCGACCCGCACGACCAGCTCGTTCCTGGGCGGCAGCTCCGCCGCCACCTGCGCCTTTGTCCTGCGCAGCATCGCAAAGGCGTGCAGCACCCGCTCCAGTTGGGAGGGGTAGCGGCAGACGTGGCCACCCGAGGCGGAGGAGAAGAAGGAGTGGCGAAAGTCGCCCTTCGAGGCGCCGAGCAGCCCCGGCCGCACGAGGCTCAGAAGGTGGTACATGTCGGCGAGCCGCGAGGTGCAGGGCGTGCCCGTGAGCAGCAGCCGGAAGGGGATGTTGGAGAGGAGCTCGAGCAAGCAGGCCGTCTCGTCCGAGTCCGTCTCCGCCGCGCGCAGCTTGGTGTGCGCCTCGTCGACGACAACGGACGCCCACTGCCGCCGGCTCAGCGCGCCGAACTGGTGGTTGCGCGACGCCATCTTGAAGCTCGTGATGAGCAGCTTCGGCAGAGGCCGCACTTCGCCCAGCGCGTCCGAGGCGTCGTACATCACATGCAGGTCCTCTGGCCCGAGCGCGCTGCCGAGCCACACCTCGGCCTCCTCGGCCCAGCCCCGCCGTGTCACTGCTGGAGCGATGATGAGGCACGGCCACGCCTCGCGCGCTGCGACGCAGGCGAGCGCCTGCACGCTCTTGCCGAGCCCCATCTCGTCGCCGAGGATGCAGCTGCCCTGCCGCAGCACGCGCCGCACGCCCGCCCTCTGGTAGCCGCGCAGCCGGAACCACAGCCCGAGCCGCTCGAGCCGAGCCACGCCCTCGCAGCTCTCCGGGACGGCGGCATCGGTGTCACCGCCGCCGCTACCACCACCACCGCCGCCACCGCCCTCGACACCTCCGCCTCCACGGCCGCCGCCGCCGGCCGCTGCGTCGAGCAGCGCCGCCCGCTGCTCTGCAAAGTGCGCCTCGCACAGGCCACGCAGCCGCATTCCCTCGCCCGCCCCTCCCGCCGCGGCGCGGGCGTCGGCGTCGCGCTTGAGCGCCTCGAGCGTGGCCACCACCCGAGGGTACTCGCAGAGAGGGAAGCGCGCCGCGAGGCACTTCTTCTCCGCCTCCTCCGCCTGGCGAAGCAGCGGAGGAGGCGCGCTCCCACCGCCGCCGCCGCCGCCGCCGCCGCCGCCGCCGCCGCCGCCGCCGCCGCTCCCACCGCCGCCGCCGCTCCCACCGCCGCCGCCGCCGCCGCCGCCGCCGCCCGCGCCCCAGCCGAGGGTGAGGTGGCGCAGCTCGCCACCGCCGGGCAGGGGCGCGAGGAGCGCGCCTCGCAGCACCGCCGAGTGGCGCAGCTCTGCGCGCAGCTCGAGCACGTCCGCTGGGTCGCCGCAGCAGCGCAGGGCCGTCGCCTCGAGCGAGAGGCGCGGGATCGTCGCGTCGCGCATCGCGTCCCACGCGGCGAGGAGGGGCATGCCTTCGAAGCGGCTGCACCGCTCGGCGACCTGCGAAGGCGCGCGGCCGCATGTCACAAACACGACCGTCGGCCCGTTCCGCGGCCGCAGCTCCTCGATCAGCAGCAGCCGCGAGCCGCACTGCGAGCACGAGAGCGCGGCGTCGCCACCACGGCGCAGGAACTCGTTGAGCTGAGCGCGCATGACCGCCGGCGGCGGCCCGTGCCACGCCTCCCGCCGCCGCGCCTGCTTGGAGCCGCCGCGCTCCTGGCCGCACGACGCGGCGACCCGCTTGACCTCGGCGACGGTGATGCGCCCGAGACGAGCCAGCCGGGTTGCGACCTCTGCCTTGGGCTTGCCGCTCAGGCCGCGCATGCGGTAGCCGCTCGCCAGGCCATCGAGCACGCGCCGTCGCTCCGCCGCCAGCTGAGCCTCGCTGGCGAGGACGGAGCCGGCCGCTGCGGCGGCGGGTGGTGGCTGGCCGGTCGGCGCCATTCCGGCGACTGCGCGGCTCGCAGCGAGGAGCGCGTGCGAGGAGCAGCGAGGAGCAGCGAGGAGCGAGGCCGACGCGTGCGAGGAGCGAGAAAGAATCTGTCCCGTGCCCAGTGTTGTGCGAGCGAGAAAGAAACCAGCGAGGCCGCAGGTGGGGACCCTGTCTCCTTCTTGCTCTTTTTCATTTATTTATTTATTGTGCGTGAACGGAGGATGACGCTTCCCTGGGACCCCGTGTTGCAGACTCGCTCTGTGAGGGCGGCGAGGGACCCGCCGCGGCAGAAGAGCCGCTCGAGCAGCTCGCGGAGCGGGCGGACGACGCGCCCGCCGAGCACCTCGTTCGGCGCCGCCGAGAGGAGCTCCGCCGCCCGGCGCGAGGCCGGCGGCGAGAGGGAGGCGAGCCTAGGAAGTGAGTGTCTAGGAAGTGTCTAGGAAGTGTCTAGGAAGTGTCTAGGAAGTGTCTAGGCGGCGAGAGGGAGGCGAACCGGCCCGCGAGAGTCAGCGCGTTCGCCTCCTCGCTCGAGTGGGAGAGGAGCGGGTTCTGGAGCAGCGCCTGTGCAACATGTCTCGGACATGTCGCGCGCGTGTCCTGGACATGGCCGGAGCGCGGTTCCGGAGGAGCGCCAGCAGCGCGACCGTCTGCGCGCCCTGCGCCGCCTCGATCTCGCCGCCGAGGTGCGAGAGCAGGCGAGGGATGGAGGCGCGCAGGGCCGCAACCACGGGCGGCGCAGCCTCGTACGTGCGCATCAGCGTCACGTACGTCGCCTCGAGCGCCGCGGGGTCGACCCGTCCGCCGCGCCGAAGCACGCGCCAGCAGCGCCGGCGACGCGAAGACAGCGCCCACCCGCTCGGCGAGCTCGCCCCACCGGCGGCCGTCTGCGAGGGAGAGGGCAGACCCGGCGGAGAGGGCGGGAGGCTGCGGCGGCCCAAGCTCGCCCGCCGCCCGCCCGACGAGGACAGCGCTACCGTAGCCGCCCGCAGCGACGCAGCGAGGCGCGACGCCGAGCGGCAGAGGCAGCCGCTCCGCGTGCGGCCGCTCCTCCGCGGCTCCGGCCCCGAGCTGGCCGTAGTCGCCGACGCCCCACGAGTAGACAGTGGCGTCGCCTCCGCCGCAGAGCGCGAGGCCGTGCGAGCGGCCGGCCGCCACGGCGGTGCAGCTGGCCGGCAGCTCGAGAAGCTGCGGCGTGGCGGTGCCAGACGGAGCGGCGCCCGCGGCCGAGCTGAGCGCTGCGGAGAGAGCGCGCCTCCGCGGCGAGGGGGGCTCGCCTCCGCCCTCGCCCCTCGCGCCGCCGCCGCCGCCGCCTCGCGGCCAGACGCCCTTGCCCCAGCAGTAGACGCTCCCGTCCTCGAGCAGCGCCATCGCCCAGTCGGAGCCGGACGCGGCGGCCACAGCGCGGCGGCCGCGCAGCGCAGGCACCGCGCGGGGCGTGGGCAGGCCGCGCGCCTCCGAGCCGGCCAGGAGCGGGAGGCCGAGCGCGCCTGCGGGACGCGTCGTGGGCGTGAGCTAGGAGCGGGAGGCCGAACGGTGCGCGTCGTGGGCGTGTCGTGGGAGTGTCGTGGGCGTGTCGTGGGCGTGCCGTGGGCGTGTCGTGGGCGTGTCGTGGGTGTGTCGTGGGCGTGCCCGTGGGCGTGTCGTGGGCGTGAGCTAGGAGCGGGAGGCCGAACGCACCGTGACGGCGCGATCCCCACGCTCGCGCGCCCCTCCGCCGCCGCCCCCTCGCCACCACCGCCGGCCGCGCGTCGAGGCGAGGAGGGCGTCGGTGAAGGCGCCATCCGTCGCGCCGCAGCGGGACAGGTCCGACGCGAGCGCCGGGACAGGTCCGACGCGAGCGCCGAGATCGAGGCGGCCGAGAGCAGCGGCGAGGCGACCTGCCGTGCGGCGCGGCTAGCGCCCGACACTTCCCGGAAAGCCTCCATCACGGCCGCCGCCGCTGGGGCGCCGCGCTCGGGCGCGCGGAGCAGCGCGAGCGTCGGCGGCGAGAGCACCGCCTCGCGCGCGGGCGCGGAGGCGGACGCCCTGCGCAATCCTCGCAGGACGACGTCCGGCGAGGATGCCCGCCTCAGCGTCGGAAGCGCTCCACGGCAGCGGCGGCGGCGCGGCGGCGGCGGCGGCGGCGGAATCGTCCGAGGCGGCGGCCGAGGCGGCGGGCAGCGGGTGCGAGGCGGCGGGACCGGATGAGGAGCTGGCGGCGGCGGTGCGGGGGACTTCCACCTTGTACCAGAGGTGCCAGACGGGCGGGCCGCTGCTGCGCGGCTTGCGGAAGCAGGGCGGGGCGATGCGAGTGTAGGTTGCGCGCTCGGCCGCGTCCATCTCGAGGTACTCGGCCTCGCACACGTCGTAGTTCTCGCCCGTCGTAGTTCTCGCCGTCCAGCTTGTACCGGTCGCCGAGGATGGGCGACATGCCCGTCCGGTCGCACGTCACGCCGGGGTGGTAGCCGAGCTCGCGCGGCGTCAGCTGCGCCCGCAGCGGCGACGTCTCGCGCAGCCGCTGCAGGCAATGTAGCAGCGTCGCCCCCCCGCCGAACGCCTCCACCGGCGCCCCCTCGGGCGGCGCCGTCCCGTCGGGCAGCCCGAGCGAGAAGCGCACGCAGAGCCGCATCGGCGCCATGCCGGCAACCGCGCCAACCTCCGCCCGCGCGCCCTCCGCCGCCGCCTCCTCGCCGCCGGCGCCGGCCGCCGCGTTGTCGTCGTCCGTCTCCATCGCCTCGGGCGCTGAGCCGGCCGCGGCCGCCGCGCCGCCGTCCATCGGCACGTGGCCGACCTGGCCCGCGCGGCCGACGTGGAAAGCGGAGAGGGTGCGGCGCAAGTTGGCGGGCGCCGACTCGCGACCGCCGAGCTCCGGGTCGGCGCGCCGCTCCTCGCGCGACGAGAGGGACTGCTCGAACGTCATGGAGATGGTGGTACCCCGGCACCGCCGCCTCAAATGATCCGTCGTCAAACACGAGAGAGAGGCCCCCTCCGGCGGCCCGGCGACGGTAGCGGGCAGCCACTGCGCGCCACCGCTGCCGCCCTCGCCGCCCCCCGCCGCGCCGCCGGCGCCGCCACCGGCGCCGCCCCCGCCACCGCCGAAGGCGACCAGCCCCTGCACGCGGGAGACGCTCGAACTGCGCGCCGCCGCGCTCTCAGCCGCGGTCGCGTCAGCCGTAGTCGTCGTTGACGGAGCGCGTCATCGGCGCGCAGCCGGGCTCCGCCTGCCGCAGCGCGCGCCGCACCTCGGGCAGCACTTCGGAGAGGAAGAAGTCGACGGGCAGCCCCTCGGGGCACGAGATGGTGACCGAGTGGATGCGCGCGTCCGAGTCGGCCACCGCGCCGCGCGAGCCGCCCGCCGCCGCGCGCGAGCGCGCCTCGGCGAGCCGCTCCATGGAGACGCAGCCGACGATGCGGTACTCGCGGCTCGCCATCACGACCTCGCAAGCCGCCGGCCGCGAGCCGGCGGCGCCGCCCGCCGGCGGGTCGTACTCGAGCGTGTGGAGAGGGAGCCGGAGCGGCGTCCCCACCCGCAGCCCAGTGACAGTCGCCCGCCGGAAGGGGAGGCCGCCGCCGCCGCCACCCGCCCCGCCGGCGGCGGCGGTCGCCGCCGCGTCGCCGCGCGGGAGGGGCCGCTCCTCGATGACGCAGCCGACGAGCCGCTCGCAGAACGCGTCGTAGGTGGTGTCGTCAGAACGCGTCGGCGGCCGGCGGTGCGCAGGAGCAGCGCCTGCAGCTCTGCGACGCGCACCAGAGGGTCGATCGAGTACTGCGGCGGCGGCGCTGCCGCGAGGCGGGGTGCAGCGGGTGCAGCACCACGTGCAGCGACTCGCCAAGAGGCTGCCTGAGGGGCTCTCACGAAGCCGCGACCCTCGGCGAAGCGAGGCGTCGGCGCAGACACGAATGGTTCCCCACCTCGGGTTTTTTATTTGCAGCGGGCATTCCTACCCTAACCCTAAACCTAACCCTAACCTCTACCCGAACTCCAGCCTAACTCCAGCCTACCTAACTCAGGCAGGGATGGGAGAAAGAACAATGGTGGTGTTGAGAAACACCGGGGGATTTTTTTGGGTTTTCCAGAGAGAGAGACTCTCTCTCTCTTTTCTAGTCGATGAGGAAGGCCGAGGAGATGGGCGAGCCCGTGTCGAGGTTGATGTACTGGTCCGGGCCAGTGGTGAAGGTCTCGACCATTTGGGCGGGTGGGGTGAAGGAGAAGAAGTCCCAGCCCGCCTGGTTCAGCGTCTTGGTGTAGTAGTTCTTGAGCGCCTCCTCGTTGCGGTGCACGGGGTGGACGGGGCAGAGGTCGGAGTACTTGGCGATGAGCGCGAGGAGGTCCCGGATGAAGGCGCTCTGCGTGGCGTACTTGTTTGCGCGCAGCCACTGGAACTTGACGACGGCCTCGAGCAAGAAGGCCTTGGCGTCAGCGCTGTAGTGGATGCGCGACCTCTTGGGCGGGGGCTCCATGCCCGTGCCGGCGGGCGGCGCCGGCGGGCGGCGCCGGCGTGGGCGCCGGCGCGGGCGCGGGCGCGGGCCGCGCGCGGGCGCGGGCGCGCGCGCGGGCGCGCGTGCGCGCGCGGGCGCGCGCGCGGGCGCGCGCGCGGGCGCGCGCGCGGGTGCGAGCGCGCGCCGCGGGC